CCTGTCTCTCCTTACAACATGTCCAAAGTATGTCAGACGAAGCCCCAGAATCCTTGCCTCCAAGGAGCAGCCTGGTTTAATCCTCTCTACGATGAATCTGTTTGTTTTCTTGGCAGTCCATGGTACATTCAATACTCTTCTCCAGCACCACAGCTCAAAGGCGTCAATTCTCCTTCTATCCTCCCTAGTCATTGTCCATCTCTCTGATGCATAACAAGCGATTGCAAAGACCATGGCCTGTATCAGGTGGACCTTAGTCTCCAGATTTTGAAATTCCCTTTTGACCACAAATGTGACAAAAATGAGGCTGGAGACCAAGTGACAGAATTTTATCCAATTGATTATTTATTAATTGCAAATAACTTTTTAAAGAAAGCAAAAATGGCAACTATACACATGGACCTCTCCTGATAGACTACACAAGAATCAGATTAATAATACTGTGTAAAGAGTCCATGGAGAAGTTCAACATCAGCTGAGCTGATCAAATCAAGGCCAAGAGCTGACTGTGGAATAGACCATCAAATACTTATGTGCAAATTCAAGTTGAAGTTGAAGAAAATGAAAACAAATCCATGACAACAAAAATATGACCGTGAATCTATCCTCCCTGACGAAAAATTATCTCAAGCTGGGGGAAGGAGTAGGAAGGGGAGGGAGGAAAATGTGCAGCAGTGAATGAATGAAAACCAAAACTTTGTTAAAATAACAATTAAAATTAATAATATACCTTTAGCTGATTTAGAAGCACTTTAAGTTAAAAACCTTTACTATCTCAATAATAGATTCGATGCATTGAACACTAATTACAGATGACCAGCTGAGCTGTGGATGACATCAAGGAAATCACCAAGAAAGCAAAGTTCATTACAGAGGCAGAGGAGGAAGAAAGGACAACAGTGAATGTCATTAGAGACTCTGAAACTTGTACTAGAACATGAAGAGGCCAAACCAAAGGGAGAAAGCTTGATGTAAAACAGATGAACAGAAGGTTTCAAACGGCAACTCGAGCAGGCAAAACAAAGTGTTAAAACAAAATGTGCAAAGAGTTGGAGTTAGAAAACCAAAAGTGATTTCTCAAGCTGAAAACCCTGAAGAACAAATTCAAGCCTTGAGTTATAATACTGAAGAATTCTATGGACAAAATCTTGAATGGCGCAGGGATGATCCATCTGATAACAGCAATGATATCCTTCATGTCACTACCTTTCCTGAATATAGCTTGGATTTCTGATGGTTCCCTGTTGATGTACTGTCCTAGCTATTTTTAAGCAATCTTCATTCAGCAAGATTTTAATTGCATGTGCTACTAATGATATTGTTTGATTATTTTCACATTCTGTTGAATCAACTTTTTTTCATTCTAGTTGCTATGTACCGTCGAGTTGGAAATGATTCACAATTGACCCTTCAAGTAGGTTTTCAGAAGCAGTAAATTGCAGTAAGTTGAAGAGATTGTCCCTCTTTCTCCCATGGAGCAATTGGTGGATTCAAACCACCCCTTGCTGAGTTGGCAGTGCAACTCCTTGCCCACTAGGCCACCAGAGCTCCTTATTTATGACAGTAGCAGTTGAGAAGTCAAAAGGCATGTAATATTTGGGGAACTTTTGTGTCAAGGACCTCTCCAAAGTGCTGAAGAGCAGTTTAAAGACAAAGTTGCACCTGATCCAAGCCATAATATTTTTCAATTGCTTCCTATGAATCTGAAAACTGGGCAGCAAATGAAGATAACAGGAAAAAATGCTTTTGAATTCTGGTGTTGGAGAAAAGTAATGAATATCCCATGGGCTGCCAAAAGAACAAACAAGTCAGTCTTGTTTAAGGGAGTGCAATCAGGGAAGGAATTCAGCGCAACTTGGAGGAAGAATGGTGAAACTCCATCTCACATACTTTGGACATATTACAGGAGGAGGCCAGTCCTTGGAAAAAGATAGCATGTTTGGAAAGGTGGAGGATTAGAGAAAGAGAGGAAGCCCATCAACAAGCTGAACTGGTGGAATGACTGTAACAATGGGCTTCAGCATCTCAATGTGAGGATGGCATGTGATAGATCAACGTTCAGATCAATTGTTCATAGGGTTGCTAAGAGTCACAGTTGACTTGATGGCATCTAAAAACAACAACAACAGTCCAGATCACACAAACAATAGTTGATTTTTCAAACATAAGACAACTCCAGCCACTTAGAAACACTTTCCCCCTTTGAAGTGACAATTACTAAACTGGCAAATTGCTGTTGAAAAGTTGACTTTCCTTGAGTTACGATTCAACTTTTGTCAAACTAGGCTGTTAGGAAAATTCCATTTGAGAAATTAAAGTGTTCCTGCCAAAGCCTGATTCTCCTCATTCAAGGAAAGCCTGGATTTGACCTTGTGACTCAGGAGAGCCTGAACTGAAGAACCTGCATTCAAGTGTTGCTTTCTTGGGCTCAACAAGTGCTGGTGTCTTTCATGAAGGAGAAGAGATGGCAACTCCCATTTGAATCATCCTCAACCTCAACTTCATTCTGGCAAATAAAGATTTCTTTGCAGGATTTTCTTGAGCCCAATGCCTTAGACCAGTGTCTAGCACTGGTAGAAGATTTTTGAGCTATCCTGGGTTCTGGAAGGGCTCTGACTTAGCCCAAGCGACTTGTTTCGAGAGTAGAGCTTAGAGAACTCCTATTGGGCATTTAAGCTGGGCCAAGGAGGCAAAGAGACACAGTTGGAGCTAGAAGAATCCCTGGATTGGGGTTCAAGTCAGGTGTTGGGCAGCTCAGCCACTCCAGGTCTTTGCCAGGCCCTGCTGGGCCTTTAGGACACGTGTTGGAGCAGCCATGCCTACGAGGCTCACACTGGGCAGTGTTCAGTGAGCAGCAGGATCTGAACTGAGTGGCTGAGCTCGAACAAGAGAATGTCCAGCGGCTGGGGAGCAAGCTCTTGGGGGGAGGGGAGCTGTGGAGTGCACGAAGGATGGGAACTGCTGGGAAAGGTGTGTGTGGGGTCTGGAAGCCATCTAGGACTAGTGGAAGGTGGGAGGTGCCACCCTTCAAGTCTGAGGAGTGGGTACAGGGAGGATTCTGGGGTGGGAGACAAGCATGACCTTAAGCAGAAAAATGAAAGGGTTTGACAAATTTAGGGCTGTGCCTGTGGGCCTCTCTGCCCAGTGCCCACCATTGTGTTCCAGAATTCCCAGCTCTACAGGGCTGCTCGACCTGAAGCCCTGAACAGACCCCTAGAATTTGGCTGTCACACAGAGAACATACTCAGCTGCTCTGGTCACACTCCAGGGCTGCTCAGACATCTGAGGCCCTTCTCAGGGCTTTGGCAGCGGGTCATATATAAATATGCGGGTCATTTATGAATTTGTGAAATTGATATTTGTGTTCTTCTTCTTAAAGAATGTTTCTCCAAATTGTTTGAGATCCAATTTACCCTAACCAAAGGGTTGGCACGTGCAGGTCTGGCATGTGACTCAGAGTTCCTGAGTCTGAAGCACCCAGGGCCAGCCTCATCTGTAGGAAGGCCAGCCGCAGCCTCACAGGATACAAGAAGGCCCCACCCTGTGAGTCTTGTCTGTGAGGCCTGTGGTCACATGGATACCAATGAGGCCCATCACGTGTGGAGGGGCAGCTCTGAGGAGTAAAGAGGTCTACATGGGGAGACAGGTTCCCCATATCTGCCCTCTGTGACTCCTGTCCGGTGAAATCATACCCCCCAGCCCTCTTATCTGGAGGCAGCCCTTGTCCTAACTGTGTTTTGGCCCATCTGGCCAGCTTATAGGGCTTTACTACCAGGGGCCCTCTCTCTGGCATATCCAGTAATGAGATGAAGGGAACAGATGTTTACTATGCTGTTGAGAACCAGCAGCTTACATGTACAATCCTACTATTATGCAACTTACACCCGCAGTCCTGACGCAGCCAGGATGACATGCTTGTCCCCATTTCACAGGTAAGGAAACCGAGCCTCTGGGTAAGGCGGTGGCCAAGGGGATAAGGATGAGCTTGAAGGTGTTTCCTTCTTTCCTGAGTCATGAGCAAGACAGCTTGGCATGCGATGTGTCAGAGTACAGAGCAGCTCTGGGCAACTCTGGTTATGCCAGAGTGTTGGTGGGATCCCCTACCCCTCCTCTAGAGTTCTTGGGGGAAACAGATTGCCCCTCCCCAGAAGATGGGGCTCTGAGGTAGAGAAGACTGGTACTTTGAGGGTGCCAGCCATGTGACTAGCAAGCCCAAACCCATTTCTGGTAGGTATTAGGCTCTCTCCTACCTTGGGACCAAGGAACCCTAGTGGGGTTGGCAGATGGCTCCACCAGGAACTCTGAGGGAGAAAGATGGGTCATTGTCTTCCGTGAACATTTTAGTCTCAGAAACGGAAGGCATTGAAGTCAACTCAGCTGCAGTGAGCTGCCGTGGGCCAGTTACTACACAGAGTTCCAGTTTCCTGCCCTCACTGTGAGACTAGGATGGTGCTCTGGTCCTCAAAACAGAAGGGGACCATCGTAAACCCCCATGGCATTGTGGTCCTGACCCGAGGGGTTGCCCAAGTCCCCACACTGCAGAACCTTCAAGCCCATGACCAGAACACACTGGGGCCTTCAGAGCCTCAGGCAGAAAACCCTAGGCCTGTCACTGTCACCAGAGCCTTTGGTTGGGACACCGGGTGGGGGAGGGGGAGAGGGCTGGCAGGGGCTACCTCTCCAGGTGCCCCACAGTGATAGGATGTCCTGGGACCCCTGCCGGAGGGTCCAGCTCCCATCCCTGTGTGGATCCTCCAGTCACTCACAGGGTGGGGAGTCCTCTGCTACCAAAAAGGCCTCACACTGATACCCCGTGCTAGGTTGCCTCGCCCAGTCTTTCCCTCCGGAGCCACCTATGCTGACTCACTCCACCCAGCTTCCCACTCGCTAAGAGAGGGCTCTGATGCCCCAAATCCTGAAGGGGAGGCACCAGAGGCCTCTATAAAAGCTCTGCTGGGTCAGGGCCAGCATTCTACCTGACTGCCATCTGCTACCTCATCATGCTTGGAGGCCTGGGGAAGCTGGCTGCTGAGGGCCTGGCCCACCGCACTGAGAAGGCCACTGGGGAAGTCGGTAAGGGCCCCAGGGGAGCTGTTTCCCTCAGCCTGGGGTCAGGAGCACCCGCCAGGCTGTTGGAAGGGGGCCCCACAATTTGATGAGTGGGCTGGGGCCACACAGATGTGGCCATCTGGAAGCCTGTCCAAGAGAGATGGCCACAGCAGGTGGAGGGGGCCTTCAGAGGAAAAGCATGCAGGAGCTTGCCCTGGACTGAGCTCTGCTGGCTCCTGAGGTCTGTGGCTGAGGGTTACTGCTGAGGCCCAGAGGGTGGGAATCCAGGGCCTCCAGGAGAGAAGCAGCCCTCCCTGCTTGTCAAAGCAGCCTTTCTGAATATCCTGTAGACACATGGCAGATGGATTTTTATTTGTTACTATCACTTTAAAACATCAGAGACTTCTTCTTAAAGAAATCACCAGAGACTTTCTCTGGGGTTTATGAAAAGGATTTTCAATATTCTAAAAAATTCACAGCAGCTCCGTCTGTGTGTAGAGGCCAGCAGTGCATGTGGGAGGCTAGTCCATCTCTCAACTGCTAGATCTTCCTGAGAAAAAGAGTTCGGGTGTGTTTACTGTCCTATAAACATGTCTGTACTTCAGTTTTTAACTCCCCTGCTGGTTTTGACGCTCTGATTTTACCTTTCGCTCACTCCTGAGCTGGCACATGAGGGATCTCAGTGAAAGGTGGGACTAGGACTCGAACCAGCTCTTCAGATGCTAACATGTTTCTGTTCCAGCTATCACCCAGATGCTGGACCCCTGAAGTGGGTGGAGAGGCCTCTCTCAGGGGAAGACTTGATGTAGGGCACTGAGTTTTGCTGGAGGTGGCTTCCTACTGGGCCTGCTGATGGCACATCCTGAAAGGTCATTCAGTGAGTTGGTCAAAGAACCAAACCTTGCCTCCAAGTTCCTGGCTGGCAGGAGGGCCTGCTCATCAGCATTCCAGGCAGAGCCAGGCCTGGAGGCATGGTGCCCTATGATGCCCTACACTAGATTCTGGAATCTGTTGCACTCAGTTGCTCCCCTGCAGCCAGGCCCCGCTTCAGTCTTGGAGGGAAGTCAGCTGAGGCTTTGTCTCTCCAGCACTCCCTTGGGTGACCAGAATTGCCTGAAGTAGCTGTGAGGAGATTTGCCTGACACCATGTTCACATTCTACACTTGTCTTCTCTCTCTCTCCAGTTCATGCTGTGGAGGAAGTGGTGAAGGAGGTGGTGGGACATGCCAAAGAGGCTGGAGAGAAAGGTAAGACAGAGGAGGGAAGGGGGGAGGAGGGAGGAAGGGATGGTAGGTGCCCAGAGCAACTTGTTCTTTGCCCAACCAGCTCAAACTTTGATCTGGTATTTTCAGTTGGTACATGAAATTATCTATGTTCATCTGAGGTCACAGATCACAGGGTTCTTTATGGCGCCATCTAATAGCCCTCTCTTCGAAATGTGACAAAAGATTAGGAGCAACACACTGGAGCAAGAAATTTAAGACAGGCATTTATATAAATACATATATACATATTTATGTCTATCTGCTGGGGGTATAAGCATGTAAAAGACATATATAGACCTCACTCTTTACAGCAAAGCCGATGCCAGGTGCATCAAGGATTCAAACACCAACCATGATGTTATTAAGCTGGCAGAAGATAACTTAGGATACTTTGTCACGATATGGGGAAGGAAGGGGTCACTTTAATTTGACATAAAATCCAGGAGCCCTAAAGAGAATATTGAGCACATTTGACAATATAAAATGTCAGTGTTTTCCTATGCTAAAGAAAATTTCAAAAACGAAGCCAAAGAAAATCTAAAAATGAAAGAAAATATGTGATTTAAGATACAAATATTAAAGAGTGAATGCTTTAATCTATAAATAGCTAAACAAAAATGATACAATTCCATATAAAAAGAATAAAAAGATACAACTAGGCCATTCACATGAAAACAATAAACAGCAACAAGTGGATGTCTGTTCTGACGTATCACTGAAGACATTTAAGTCTTTGGGGGAATGAGATCTGACTGCACTGGCTTTGGGGCTTCTGGAAATGGGATGCCAGGAGGCAGGTGCATCCCATCAGGGAGTCAAGGTGAGGCTTGGACAACACGTGGCTTGAAATGGACTTGCTCACCTAGATATTTTCTTCTCCTCTCTTTTTTGATAGCTGTTGCTGACGCTTTAAAGAAAGCCCATGAAGCAGGGGACAAAGTGGTGAAGGAAGCCACTGAGGCAGTGACCAGCACAGTCACAAAAGCCGTCACGCACGCAGCAGAGGGCCTGGGCAAACTGGGATAGTGAGCGTGCCCACCACCGCCAATACCCTGGCTGACCCATAATAAAAGTTGTGAAATGTGTGTACTGTGTCCTCGTTGTATTTCTGTTTGGATGAAAATATGAGGAAAAATGATTTTCAGTAAAAGCAGTGGGCATGTCCTTTCTCTACACAGGCAGCAGGCTAGTGGGTTGGGCACTGGCCAGCAGCATTTATAAAATTTCCAGTTATATCAAATGTTTTTATTAAGCTTGCCTAAATCAGGCCATGGTCTTTTCAATCATTTGCTGTGCATCTGAGATCTGTACAATGAAGAAGGATGACAGAAGAAGATTTGAAGCCTTAGAGTTGTGGTGTTGGAGAAAAGTACTGAGTATCTCATGGAGTGCCAAAAGAACAAAGAGATAGGTCTTGGAGAAAATGCAGAGTGCTTCTTGGAGGCCAGGATGACAAAGCTTCATCCACATACTTGGCATGTTGCTAGAAAGAGGCTATTCCTTGGAAAGAGGCAGCATGCTTGAAAATGTTGAGGGTTAGCAAAAGAGACGAAGACTCTCAAAGAGATCGACTGATAGATACTACAGCAACAGACTCAAGTTATGTTAGAGATGATGGGTACAGCACAGGAAAGGTCCGGATTCAGATCTGTTGTTAATAAGGTCATTGACTCATTCTCGATTCAATACCGCCCAATAACAACAACATATCAGCAAGGAGAATTGTTAGTGTCTATATTTTTGTTGTTGTTGTTAGGTGCTGTCGAGTCGCAAACAACTCATAGTGACCCTATGAACAAAAGGCCTGAGCACTGTTCATAGGGTTTCCGGAGGCAAGCCATTTCGGAAGTGGTTGCCACTCCTGCTTCCAAGCTTGTTTTAATCGGGAAGCTCCAGCAAACACTGTCTACCATGGGTAACTATTATCACATTTGGCACATCTGTGTCACAGTGTTTAGCATCACAGTGTCTATATTACATTTTCTAAAAGGTTATTTTCCCAGATATTATATGTACATTTCAGATGGCTCAGTGCTTCAAGGACACCTGAAGGTAAGAACACATGTTAGTTTGTAAAATCTTCGGGTTTTACTGGAAATGTTCATGCAGGAGCCAGAGAAGAAAACTGACCATTCTGGTTGGGATGTTAACTAAGAAGACTAAGACCATTTGAACTACTTCCTGTTCTGGAAGGTGTTTCAGGCAGGCATTTGTAGGGATCAGTTACAGAGTCAGGTCAGGAGGATCCTAGTCTGTCACTTAGTGGTTACCAACTCCGTGTTATAATTTCCCTTGGAACCCTGTGCTATATTCAGCCACTGGCAGTAACCAGTAGGGGACAAAAGGAAAAAAGTTTGGCTTTTTCTCTTTGACAATAGCAAGTTGATACCATATAAGTATGGGTAGGTAGAATCTATCATACACATGTAGAATCTGAATAAAGGAAAAAATGTATCATCCTCCATCTCAATAGAATGCAATAGATAGATATTTTGATTAAGGAATGAATTAGTGTGCGCTTAGAGAATTATGCTTATATTTCTGAACAGCCCGGGAACATACGATGTCTTAGCTTTGAAATATTTGCCACTGTCCAGCTAGACAAGAGTTTTGTGTCTTGTTTTGATTCCTGATAATTTTTCGATTCCACAAAGCCATACCCAAGGTTGGTACACACAAAAGAGTTACATAAAAGTGTTTAAAGGTATGTTGTTGTTATTAGGTGATGTTGAGCAGATTATGACTCTCAGTGACCCTGTGAACCATGTCCTGTCCTGTCCTGACCTGTGCCATCTTCCTTGTTACATCCTCATTGACAGTCACTGTGTCAAACCATATATATCAAGGGTACATCTTGTTTCTAATAGCAAGAGAGGAGGAACAACATAAACTGTTAATTAGAAATAATTTGGATGGAAAATTTTGCTCTATTTGACACAATTTTAGGGGGGACACCCATACTCCTAATGTAGTATATATGCTTATGAGACCTATGCATGGATAGGTATTAATTTTAAAATGTTGCACACACATAAAATGAAGTAGTCTGGGATTATTAAGGAGAATGAGGAAAATGTACATACATTACATAGGAACATATTCAAATAAGTCAGTTATATAATCAACATACTTTTAATAAGTTAATTTTAAAACATATGATGTTATGTGCCCTCGAGTCAACTACAATTCATAGTGATCCTATGAATAACCTTACCATATCCTGCACCATCCTCAGTCCCTAATATTCCTCTTGTTGAGGTGACCCTTTTCTTTGACACTTTTAGCATGACGTGTTTTTCCAAGAACTGATCCCAAGTGTATTTTGTTGTTGTTGTTATGTGCTTTGAGCTGACTCTGACTCATAATGACCCTATGCACAATAGCTCTGCACCCTGCCCTATCCTGAGCCTATCTCAGTGTCTCTGACACAGCTATTCCCATTACCCTAGTTACTGTGTCAATCCATCTCCTCCAGGGTCCTCTTCCCCTGTGCTCTCCTTCCATCTTTCCAAGCATGATGTCCCTCTCCAAGAACTGGTCCCTCCTGGCAACATGCCTAAAGTATGTGAGACAGAGCTTCAAAATCCTTGCCTCCAAGGATCAGTTTGGTTTCACCCTGTCTAGGACAGAACTGTTTGTTCTTTTGGCAGTCCATGGTGTGTTCAGTACTCTTCTCCAGCAACACAGCTCCAAGGCATTGATTCTTTTTCTTTCATCCTTAGTCATTCTACAGCTCTCTGATGCAAAGCAACTAATTATGAAGACCATGGCTCAGATGAGGTGCACCTTAGTCTCTAGGCTGACATTGTTGCTCTTCAGTATTCTGGAGAGGTCCCTGACAGCAGAATTTCCCAGTGCAATTTGTCTTTTGATTTTTCTGGTTGCTAGTACCAAGATATAGAATGATTAAATTTTGTACAATCAATTACTTATTCATTGAAAATACATCTTATAAGAAACATAAACACAGGTTATACACATGAATTTCACCTGATGGTATGCATAGTTATCAGATTGATTACATCTGTGGAAAGAATTGCTGGAGAAGCTCAAAATCAGCTGTGAAACCTAGGCCAGGTGCTAATTGTGGAACAGACCACCAACTACTCATATGCAAGTTCAAGCTGAAGCTAAGGAAAATGAAATAAAATCCACAGGAACCAAAATATGACCTTGAATTTATCCTATCTGAATTTCAGAACCATTTCAGAAACAGGTTTGAGGCCTTAAACACCAATGAGCGAATACCAGATGAGTTATGGGAGGATGTCAAGAGTACCATCCAGAAAGAGTGAAAAAGGTCATTACAAAGACAGAGGAGGAAAAAAAAGACCAAAATGGATGTCAGAAGAGACTCTGAATATCGCACTAGAGTGCTGTGAAGCCAAAGCAGAGGTAAGAATTCAAGATATTAAAGAGCTGAACAGAAGATTTCAAAAGGCAGTGCGGGAAGACAAAGTAAAATAAGACAATGAAATGTGCAAGGAGCTGGAGTCAGAAAATCAAAAGGGCCGAACTTGATCAGCATTTCTTAAGCTCAAAGAACTTAAGAGGAAATTCAAACCTCAAGTTGCTAATGCTTTGGGCAGCATATTAAATGATCCAGAAAGTATAAAAGAAGATGGAAAGAATATACAGAATCACTGTACCGAAAGGAATTGGCAGACACAGAAGAATTTAATGAAACAACATATGAGCAAGAGTCCATGATGATGAAGGAAGTTCAAGTTGCTTTGAAAGAACTGGCAAAAAAATAAGGCCCCAGGAATAGATGGTATACTAATTGACATATTTCAACTAACAATAGATGCTGCCCTCCATGTGCTCACCAAGCAGTGCCAAGAATTCTGTAGGACAATAAGTTGGCCAACTGACTGGAAGAGATCTATATTTGTTCCCATTCCAAAGAAAGGTGACCCAACAGAATGTGAAAATTATTGAACAATATCATTGATATAACATGCAAGCAAGATTCTGCTGAAGATTATCCAAAGACAACTGGAACAGCACATCAACAGAGAACTGTCAGAAGTGCTGGCTGGGTTTAGAAGGGGTCATGGTACTAGGGATATTGTAGCTAATGTTAGATGGATCTTGGCTGAAAGCAGGGAGTACCAGAGGAAAATCTATCTGTGTTTCATTGATTATGCAAAGATGTTTGACGGTGTGGATCACAACAAACTGTGGCTGACTCTGAGAAGAATGGGAATCCCCGAACACTTGATTGTGTTAATGCGAAACCTATACTTGGACCAGGAGGCAGTCATCAGAACAGAGCAAAGAAACACTGCATGATTCAAAATAGGGACGGGTGTACATCAGGGATGTGTCCCATCTCCGCAGCTTTTCAACCTATATACAGAGCAGATTATCCAGGAGGCTGGGCTCTATGAGAAGTGTGGCATCAGGATTGGAGGAAGATTCATCAACAATTTGTGTCATGCAGATGACACAACCCTGCTTACTGAAATTGACGAGGACCTGAAGTGCTTGTTGCAGAGGGTCAAGGACTACAGCCTTCAATATGGATTGAGACTCAATATCAAGAAGACAATGATTCTAACCACTGGGCCAATTGGCAGCATCAGGATGGATGGTGAAGAGATTGAGATTGTACACAGCTTTAGTTTGCTTGGCTCCACAGTCAACACTCTTGGCACTGGCAGCCAGGAAATTAAAAGACATATCACGATAGGAAAGTCTGCTGTTAGGGACCTCTCCAGAGTACTGAAGAGCAATGGTGTCACTCTGGATACCAAGGTGTACCTGACACAGGCCATGGTCTTCGCAATCACTTGTTATGCATCAGAGAGTTGGACAATGACTAGGGAGGATAGAAGGAAAATTGATGCCTTTGAGCTGTGGTGCTGGAGAAGAGTATTGAATATACGATGAACTGCTAAGAAAACAAACAGTCATCCTGGAGAGGTTAAAGCGAGCTGCTCCTTGAAGGCAAGGATTCTGAAGCTTCATCTGATATACTTTGAACATGTTGCAAGGAGGGACCACTCTTTGGAGAAGGATGT